GGCTTGTGCTACCATGTGCTAAAATAATTGCAAATATTGGAAATATGGCAATTCATTACAAAGTCAAACATACAATTGTCATACTACCTAGCAATTTCATTCCCAGGTGTGTAAGAGAAATCAAAACTTATAAGCACCCCAAAACTTATATGTGAATGTTCCCAACAGCTCTATTCATAACAGTACCAAATGGGAACAACCCAATTGTCTATAGGAGAAAGGATAAATAAATTGTGATACAGCCATGTACAGTTAGCCCTCTGTAGCTAATCAACTGCAGATCAAAAATATTTGGGGAAAAAACCTTGCATCTGGGGCTGGGGCTGGGGCTCAGTGGCAGAGCGCTTGCCTCACATGTGTGAGGCACTGGGTTCAAAACTCAGCACCACATAATGAACAAATAAAATAAAGGCATTCTGTCCATCTACAACTACCCCAAAAATTTTTTTAAAAAGACCTCGCATCTATATTCAACATAGAATGTTTTTCCTTAATATAGTATAACAATTATTCATGTTTATGTTATATTAGGTATTTTAAGTAATCTAGAGATTGTTTAAAGTATATAAGAAGATTTACATATGTTACATACAAATACCATACCATTTCATATAAGAAACTTGAGGATCCATGGGGTGGGGTTCCTGGAACCAATCCCTAGTGGATACAGAGGTACCACCATAATGGAATACTACTCAGGAATACCATGGAATCAACTATTGACATATTAAACAACATGAATGAATCTCAAAATAATTAATAAAATAATAATGCTGAGTGAAAGAAGCCAGTCATAAAGTGTATGTGCTGTTTGATTCCATTTATATACAACTCTAGAATAGTACAAGCTACTTCAAGAGAAAGCAGATTGGGATTACCTGGAGGCAGAGTGGGTAGGAACGAGGAAGGGTATGAAGGAGTGATTACAAAGTCTTTTAGGAATAATGGATTTGTTCGTCTTGATTGTGGTGATGGCTTCATGGGCACACAACATTTCAAAATGTACCGTCAAAGTTACATTTAATTTAAATATGTGCAACATACTACATGTCCATAAACGTGTTATA